CTGTGGCCGTGCGCGTGGGCTCGAGATCGAGCCTCCAGAGAAGCTGGCCAGTGCGCATGGGCACTCAAAGGCTTGCAAGTGGCCCCATCCTTCGGATGTCTCACTGGTGGCTGTTCAGCGAAAAGTACTTCACCAGTGCCAGCAATAACTTGCAACGGGCACGTTTGGCTCCCCATCCTGTTTTTGGGGTGCTCACTGCGCTGCATCTTCGCCTTCTTCTGCCGCTGCCGACGGACACAGTGGCTCACGCACGTAACCATAATAACGTCAAGGCTCTGTGATCCATCCACCTTTTCTCACCGACAAAGGGTACGTCTCGCTCTTTGCCCTGAGTGACACGCACGCACGCACTTCCACCGTGATTTTCATTGGTGTGGCTGCCTGGCTCGAGTTCGTATCAGGTGGTGGCTTCGGACCCACGTACAGTCTTCAGCGTTTCTCGAGGTATCTTTCTCGGCGGCATCATGAGCAAGGGTGGTCGTAGCAAGGGCTACGCCGACTACCAAGCCAACCAGCGGAACCGATAATGTCTTGGCTCAAAAACAATATGATCGTGTCTGTTTACTGTAGGGTGCTTTGGGATCTTGATCGGCTAAAAGCGCTAAACCAACAAAAGTCCAAGCGAGGAGCCCAACCATAGTATGCAAGCGTACGACAGGTTCGTGTCGTGCCGACTTCGGCGATGGTGTCTGACACCGCGGGGATCGTTCAACCTTGAACGATCCGCCGTTTCCGAAACGTCCAAATCGTTCCACATCGAACGATTCTGGGTCGCCCGCTGCATTCAAAATTGAACGCCGCTGGCGGAGTCGCCGCCGGTCAACACGACACGAACATACCGCAAATACCGCAAGGCAGGTGGGACGAAGGACGGGGAGCTCCCTATGCGGTCTAAAGCCTGTGATGGGTGTGCCAAACTCGGGCGGTGCCGCCATGCTGGCGCTGGAGCTGGCGCCGTTAGTGGAGCTCCCAATTGGGTCACGAAACGTGCGAGGGGTGTGCCGAAATGAGGCGGCACCGCCATGCGAACGCTGGTATTTGGGCCTACTTGGAGCTCCCGTTGGGGCCGTGTGAGGGGCGTGCCGAAATGAGACGGCGCCGCCATGCGAACGCTGACATCTGGGCCTTAGCTGGGGCTCCTTGTGGGGCCGTGTGAGGGGCGTGCCGAAACGAGGCGGGGCCGCCATGCGAACGCTGGCATTTGGGCCTTAGCTGGGGCTCCCTATGGGGCCACAGCACTTGTGAGGGGCGTGCCTAAAGGAGGCGGCCATGCGAACGCTGGCATTTGGGCCTTAATCGGAGCTCCCTTTGGGGTCACGAAGCGTGTGAGGGGTGTGCCGACGTAAGGCGGCGCCGCCATGCGAACGCTGGCGTTGGGGCCTTGGTCGGGACTCCGTGTGGGGCCACGAAACGTCTGAAGGGTGTGCCGAAATGAGGCGAGGCCGCCATGCGAACGCTGGTATTTGGGCCTCAGTTGGGGCTCCCTGTGGGACCACGAGGCGCGTGCAGGGTGCATGTTTGCACAAGGCGGCGCCGCCATGCGAACGCTGGCATTTGGGCCTTAACTGGAGCTCCCTTTGGATCCACGACGCGTGTGATGGGTGTGTCGACAAGAATAGGAGGCCTGGAAATGGGCACCAACACCAACACAGGGTGTTGCCTCCACAGGGGGAAGATGATCCTGGATTTCGGTGTTGGTGGTAATATTTCGGCCACCTTGGAAGCCAGAATATTACCACCATCACCGGGATCGGGATCTTCTTCCCTAGGTGGAAGCAAACCGCCGATATTGGTGTTGGTGTCAACCTCTAGGCCTGCGAAAGAAGCGGCGGCGCCATGCGAACGCTGGCACTTGGGCTTTAGTTGGGGCTCTCTGCGGGGCCACGAAACGTGTGAGGGGTGTGCCGAAATGAGGTGGCGCCGCAACGCGAACACTGGCATTCAGGCCTGAGTTGGAGCTCCTTGTGGGGCCACAGCACGTGTGAGGGGCGCCCTGGAATGAGGCGGCGGCGCCACGCGAACGCTGGCATTTGGGCCTTAATCGGAGCTCCCTTTGGGGTCACAAAGCGTGTGATGGGTGTGCCGACGTAAGGCGGCGCCGCCATGCGAACGCTGGCGCTTGGGCCTCCGGTGGGGCTTCCTTTGAGGCCACGAAGCGTGTGAGGGGTGCGCCTGAATAGAGACACGCGGAGGGCAGAGGCATGGATGGGAGGAGGGAGGAGGAAGGAACGCGGGGCGCTGTCTCTGCAAAGCAAGAGCCCAACATCACAGGATGGTTGGGGACAAACGCTAGGCCCGTCGCTGTGGATCAATATTTGTTTAGTGGTTGTTGCTTTCTTGTCGAAGGCTGCTCCGTGTCTTCCCTGCCGTCTTCACTCCCGTTCTCCAATCCCTGTTGCCTCCCTTTCCTCCAGCCGCGCAGACGTTCTCAGAACGTGACCGCGACCGACGTGGAGATCGTGGCAACGATCGTAATGGAGATCGGAACTGGTACTCTTGT